GAGATATTTTTTTACCGGAAAAAAATTACGTAGTTATCTAAAAGCGCATTCACCACGTGTTCAGCGCAATTTATTTGTGCTAATGATTTCCCCAACATATTGACCGTGAATATATGTTTATTCGCATACCTTAATAATCAAATGTAGCTAAATGTTAATAGCGGAGATTAACAATATATCCGTGTAAGTCAAAAATGCTACTGCTGCAAAAAAACAAGTGTTATTATTATTGCTATTGTTTTTATAAAGTACCTCAATAAGATGGTACGGGGCCGCCGCGTATAATATGGCAGCAAGTGAACAATAATAATAACGATTACCTGGGAATCGGCCGCTTTGGCAAGGTCAGACGAAAATATACTATTTTTATTTACCAAAAGACTGTAACTATCGGCCGGAAATTCACTTTTTGTTGATATCAATAAGGTCTTTATAACAAACTGTAACCAACACTTTTTAACGACAATAATTACAGGGGATTGTATTAGATAAACTTTATTTTTATAAATATTTCCCAGAGACCAGGCTATATCTAATCCTGTTAACGCGCAACTGTGAATAATCCAGGTAAAAATTCACTACTGTCACTAGTGAAATTCGTTCAAGTAACTATCTGGATAATAAATATTTGTAAGGGAGACTTCACTGTTCCAAATTAAAACTAAAATCTAATATAATTAGAAATAAAACTGAATGGGCTCAAAGCCTCTTACCTTAACTTCTCTCGGCCAGTTTGGATTCCTTTTGGGGAGCCAGTTAATACATATCCAAATATCCCGTGAGCACCGCACAAGATATTTATATACCTGTATAGAAAATTTAACACTGCAATAGAGTTGCAGTATGAACACAAAGAAAAATATATATGTATATGTCTTTATATATTTAATTGCATAAAATACACTTTTACACGATAGGTTATATTTATACATATACCAATAGTTCGATACAAGTTAATTAGTGAATAATCGCAAACAAAAAAAAACAAACCCGTCAAGGCTAACGTCGGAAACGGAACAGAACGCATATCAGTAATCCATATTCGGCGGTGGCCTTGTCACGTTGTTAAGGGCCGGAAGACACCGATTGTCATATTAATAGTTGGACGGCTGATATCTAGAGAGACACGGGTGAGCGCCAGCATAGAGCGTATGGCGGTACCGTGTCAGATATTATATTTTACATTTTTTAACATTATGTTGCTTTTTAAAAAATGCATGAATCTAATTCTATTCTTTAATGATAAATACTTTTTATATACCTCTCATTCGACATATTTTTTTTTTAATCGGACCATTTTTCTTTATACAGGGGAGGGGGGTTCAAACCATTAAAGATGCGTATAGAAAGTAGAACTTTTTCAACTTAACTTTTGAAAATGTTCCGGAAATACTGACACTTTTATATATACTTTATTTTGAAAAAAAAAATTAGATTTCTGAACTTGTTCTTCATGGTGAAAACGGACATCTAAATTAAAGAAAAACGTACGATTTCCGTGAAAAAATTCTCGATTTTATATTTTTAAATTTATACTGTTTGAAAACCAAAAGTTTGAACGTACAAAACAACCCGATTTTGTCCTATCAGTACGACAAAACTACTGATGCGATAAGAATTCTGAATTTAGTATCACTTCACATAGGTATCGGTCAGGCCACTTTTTTGAAATTGTGATTCCTTCAACATTAAAATTTATTTTGAAAAAATTAAAACTATTCAAAAATGTGAACTGTACTTAAGGGTTAAAAACATCAAAAATTTAAAAAAAATGGTCTGACCGATACTTAAGTGACATGATGCTGAATTCAGATTTGTTTCCAGAATTCTTATCGCATTAGTAGTTTCGTCGTTCTGATAGGACAAAATCGGGTTGTTTTTGACTAAAAAGTGGTCGGTATTCAGATGCCTTAAGAACCGGTATGATATAGAACAAGGGGTATACCAAAAAGCCCTGGTCTATCTCTGTTATTATTTTACCATGTTCTGCTATGTCGCTCTCCAAAGTCCTAGTACCTAAGATGTGACTGTGCTGTAGCTTTGACGTGAGTCTAACCTCTAGATGCAGAAGAGTAAATTCGATTAGTGCCTCTAATGCGACCGTTGGTGTAGTTCTTATTGCTTAATGATGGATATGACAGCCATTTTCTGTATACGACCAAGTTCTTGTGTAGCTGTAACGAGTGCTGTACTAGTCCACCAGAGTAAGGTACAGTACAATATCATAAGTTTAATCATTTAAGTGTATAGTCAATACATAACTCTTGGTTTAAAACCACATGACTTTCCCAGAGCTCTATTGCAAATCCATAGTGTATTTATTCCTTTTTTAACTCTTGACTCAACATGTGATTTCCATTTTAGATTACTTTTTAAGTTTATACCTAAGTATTTTACTTAGGTATTTTTCACATTGAGATTCTCAAGTTCGATGATTCTTCTGCGAAGAGCCGCCAGTTCACGCTCTTGTTCCGACAGGTTGTCCATAGGATCCCTGTTCGTCCCAAGTTCGTTATTTTGTGCTATTTGTATGTTTTTATTCATATTGTTTTCACGAGTAGTCGAGAAATAAAGGTCTATCATAGCAGAGCTCGATACTGTGATAAGGTTGTATACTTTATGGTGCGCTAGGTGCCATAGAGAATCCCAATGGTCACTTAACCTTTCACATAGAAGATAAATCATCGGAACAAATTTTTTTTTTAATTTATAGTACATAACATTAGCTTTAATTTAACATATGTGTTAAAGGATGCAGTATTTCCGGATCATCTTGAAGAAACATTAATTAATAAAGAAACATTAATTTTTTTATTTTTAAAAGAAACTAATATCCTATGTGTAACATTCTCCGTTGGAATATTAATAAAATCAATACCTCTTGTATCTAGGGACGTTGCGATACTACCGATACGAGTAAAGTATCGATAAAAAAGTATTGGTATCGAATAAATAGTATCGAATCATTAACCACCATAACGTTTTAAAAGTACTCGTATCGAACAATCTATTTTGAACCACCGACCACAAATCACAATACAATAGATTTCCTAATCGGTGTAATTAAATGCCCGTTTACTGAGAAGGCAAGGAATATCAAACATTCTGTATAGCCGTATAGGCACAGTCGCACAGACTATATACATATATTTTCATATAGTCTGTGATATAGACAGGTACTATGAAATCGGGGATATACACGAATGCTCTAAATAACAATAATAAGTTATTATTTACATTATTAACCTTGTACGTTATTAATTTTCGATTTATTTATTTACGTGTGCGACCGCTCCTTCTTTTTTACATTTTTTAAATATTTTGTTTATTAAATTATTTTTCAAAAAATTATGTCTCCTTCAAAGAGTAAAGTTTGGATATATTTTAAAAAAATTGACACTGTTCTTGCATTATGCAAGCATTGTTCACAAGATGTACGCTATTGTGGCAATACTTCAAATTTATCAAACATTTAAAAAAACATCCAAATTTGACTAATACTAAATCATCCATAGTCAAACAGTCAAAATTGACTATCACTCAAAAGTAAGTAACTTATTAAATTGTTTATTTATTTTTTATTGAAATTGAATCGGTAATTTCAAAAACAACATGTCACTATTTTATAAATGTAGTTAAAAATACACTATTTAAAACCATAAATAATGAATATCACAGACTCGCAAAATAAATTTATGTATAAGTGAATATACAAACAAATGAAAATTTATGAAGTTATTATTAAGTTATTTATAATTTGTGTAAAATTTCAATTTTATGACATATGTTGTTNTAAAATTTCAATTTTATGACTTATGTTGTTTTTAAAATAACTGATTCAATTATAAGTAATGTTACTCTATCAAACACTGATGTTTATATATTTTCTGTAGTTCTGTATCGCCAATGCCAATGCGATTCGCCATTGCCTACATTGCCAAAACCTTGCTCATCAAATANCCTACATTGCCAGAACCTTGCTCATCAAAAACTCAGTCGCGACAACTAACGCTTTGTATGGAAGACTCTGAGCCAGAGGTAATAATTATTAATTATTATATATGTTGTATAATTATATATATAGTGTGTTTGTGTATTTGTATTTATATAATAGGCATCTAATTTTCTGTGGTACGGCAATAACTGGGTATACACATTAAAAATATAAAATAATTATCATCGGACTGGTTTATTGATACTTTGGTAAGCGATGAATACATAACTATTTTTACAAAATTAAATTATCATATAATTATTCTTAGATTTGTATCTAATAATTAATTTGTTTTTAGGAATGTGTAGACGATCCACCACAGGCTCTACAACGGCTAAAACACCCTATTGTTGAAGCTTTTCAAAAAATTAGCTCATATGCAGGTATGTTTATCAGCATAATTTATTGTTGTTTATGTTATTAATATCGATACTTTATTTTTATATTTCAGAAGGTGGTCATCATTTTCGTAAAATAACCATGGTATTACTTACTTTATTTGTAAAGATTACCGTCCATTTTCTGTAGTAGAAGGAAAAGGATTTAGACGGTTCATTAAAGAATTGGCACCATCATACAAAATTCCCTCTGTTAAAACTATAAAAAATGCCCTTGATAATAAGTATGAGGTTATTATAGCTGCATTAAAATTGCGTTTGTCAAATTCACCTAATGTATCTCTGACATTCGATACATGGACAAAGACAATGTCAGAAAAAAGTTGCTTGGTATAACCGCACATTTCTTAGAAGACATTTCTCTGAAATCATTTTGTTTGGCAGTTACTGAGTTAAAAGAGCGGCATACTGGTCAATATATTAGTGAACAGTTAGAAAATATTTTATCAGATTGGGAAATAAATCAAGAAAACATTGTAAGTATTATGACTGACAAAGGTGCAAATATTGTTTCTGCTGTTCACAAAACTTTTGGTAAACACTGACACATTCCTTGTTTTGCTCATACCATCAATTTAGTTTCAATACATATAGTAAGGCAAAAAAAAATGATTAAACCTATTATTTCTAAAGTTCGAAATATCGTAAAGTGGGTGAAAAATAACGTGAGAGTTAGTGATCTTTTAAGAAAGAAGCAGTCGGAAAACGGAGTTCCAGAAGGGTCAATGAAAAAATTAATATTAGATGTTCCAACACGCTGGAACTCTGTTTTTTATATGATCAGTAGATTTGTAGAGATGGTAACATTAATAAGTCCATTACTAATCAAAGATTATACTGCTCCTGTGATGCTAACGGCGATTGAAATGGATACGCTCAAACAATTGTTGGATTTATTAAAACCAATGGAATTTGTGACGAAAGAATCTTCTGGGAAAAATTACATTACAATTTCCAAAGTCATACCAATGATCAGCTACTTGCAAAAACAATTGACACAAATTAAACCATATTTTGAGGTAATATGTGAAATTAAAGACTTATTACATGCTGAACTGACTCGAATATTTGGAATGATTGAACAGGTCAAACCAATTGCAATTGCTACACTTCTGGACCCAAGATTTAAAATTTTACATTTTAATGATCCAGTAGCCTGTTCAAGTGCGATAGCAGATTTAAGAAAGTTGTCAAAGTTGGACACCATTTCTTCTAGTGAGTCAGAAGGAGAACATTCTAAAACAGACAACTTCGATTTTTGGGCACATCATAAATATTTGGTTCATGGCCAAAAAAAGAAAAAGACCACAACTTTTATGAAAGACGAGTTATCGTTTTACTTATCAAATCCAGTATCAACCCTGAAGTCTGATCCTCTTAAAATATGGGAGGATATGAAACACGTATTTCCTATTTTGTATAAACAAGCGCGTTTGCACACTTCACCATGGTTGCAACATCTGTTCCTTGCGAACGACTTTTTTCAAAGGCTGGAGCAACATTAACTAAATATAGGAATCCTTTAACTAGTTTTTGTCTTCAAAAAATATTATTGTTTGCTGATATCCCAGAGGAAGATTGGTTTTAGTTATATTTTTTATATTAGTATTTTTTTATGTACCTATCCGAAGACTGGCTAATAATGACCAATTATAAATTATAATATTATTAGTATTTTGTATAAATTAATATATAATAAATAATAAAAGACAATTTGTATTTAAAATTTATTACGTATATTTAGGCTTTTAAATATAATTGCAAATATTTGGTTTTTACTAGTGGATAGAAATAGAAATAACAGAGTAATGACTATAGTCATTGCCCATTGGTACTAATTATACAAATATTTTTAACATTCATTAGTATCGATATCAGTAGGAATCGAATCCTAAAATTACAATATTTCATAATTCCATACAGTATAATTTGATTCTGTGAAATATAGGTTTATAAAATGATTCGATACTTACTGATATCGATACATTTGTTTCGATATTTTACTGATATCAATATTTGTATTCGATACTAGTTTCTATACTAAGTATCGATACTTTCTTTCGATATCCTATCCCTACTTGTATGTCTAAGACCACAGAAAAGAATACGCTAACACGATTACGCATATATTTTGACCTTGGTCACTATAAAGTAGCCATGAGTCCTTGTCTGTCTCATCGTCTTCGAGGCACCACAAAAAGCATTAAATAAGGGAAGGTAATAAAAAGTAACTGTCTTGTTTTGATTGTAGTACGGATTGGTGACTCAATATGTCTATGAAAAGACACAATCAAGACGTTTCATCCCTGTTTATGCCTTTCGTGGTACATTATATAAGGGCTGGAGACGCTGCTTTCACAGTCAGTCAGTCAGTCAATCTTTCATCTTTCTTGTTCACTTTTCTCACTTAATAATATCAAGTTAATCAATATAATATTATTTCAAACTAACTCAAGCGTATTCTTAATACTGTTTGTCTTTAGACTTAACTTTTAACGCTAAATTTAAAATATACATTTGTTAAAATAATTAACATTTTCTATAATAATAAATACGCTTTTATTAACCAAATACGATTCTCTTTTATTAACATACCTAATATAATAATTAACAACATTCTTAATAAACATAAATCTACGATCAAGATTCTATCAACATCAGTGAATATCAGGTAAGAGTAATTTTAATACACTAACTACATTTATTAAGTAATAACTATTAGACTTTAATATTCCTCTCAACACTTAGTATACATTATCCCCTTCCAGCATCACCCTTCTTTCTTTCAGTTATTACATATGTTTCCAATATATTTTACCATAGGTCGAAAAATAATAAAGTCTTGGTTTTTTTTAAACGTATTGTTCTATCACGATTTAAATTGCAATTGTTTAATTTTCTTATTATATCGATGATTAATTAATAATAATTATACTAATGCATTCAAATTATATTTCGAGTAATGTATTTCAATATGAATAAAACCTTTTAGCTTCGATGCGAAGCTGAGTAGGTACTAATTTTACTATGATGTGTTTTTTTTTTTATTTTTATTTTTTTGTGTCTGTGAACGCTCAATCTCAGCTCTTGCTGGACCGATTTTGATGAACAATACGTCAAAAGATCCCAAATCGTATCTAGTCTAAGACATTACCCCCAAAAAATTTAAAAATCGATAATTTTCGACATTTTTTCAATTTTTTTTAACTTAAAATTCCAATAACTTTGTTAAAAATTACCGAATGATTATATATATATATTTTTATAGATACCTTAAGTATTAACCTATCATTTTATATATTTTTGTGTACATTTGACCCTTTACCAGCCCACAGGAAGGGTTTCAAAATGGTAACTTTTTTACAAAAAATTAACTTTTTCAACTTAACTTTTTTAAATGTTCCGGAAAGACTAACACTTTTAAATATACCTTAAATTAAAGCTTATGATATATACTTTATTTTGAAAAAAAAAATTTGACCTCTAGACTTGTCTTCGTGGTGAAAATGGACATCAAAGTTAAAGAAAACCACCACGGTTTTTGTGCTGAATTTGTTAATAATTAAATAATAAACGATTTTTGTATAAAATATGTATTCGTATCTTTAAATGTTTGTAAAATATAATATAGTATTCGTAAATATTCCAATTTCGGCAAATCGATAAAATATAATATAACTTTAAATTTTGCTCGAAAACTAATGAGTTTAAAAAAAAATGTCTAATGACTAAACTTATAATCCGTAACATTGTCAACAATTTATTTTCTATAATTTTTTTCCTATGATCGCTCATTTCTAAATTAAGTACAAAACACTAGAAAACTACCCCTATTTTACAAATTTTCAACCCCGAGTAGGCACGGGTTAAACTTGTCTGATTGACGGGAAATTTTTTTGGTTCGTTTTTACATGTATATAAAAAAATTGGGGGGGTGAGATCAAGAAATTTCTAAAAGAAATTTTTCATAATCTATAATTAAGGACCACTCTAATGTTGTTATATAAATCATTTCTAAAAATATGATTGTTAGTTTCTCCTGAATTAACAATGAATTTTTACAATTATAATCAAATTTTATAATACGCTCAATTGAGTAAATCTTTTTGACAATTTTGTTTTGATTGGTTCATTTAGTTAAAGCAAATCATTAAAATGAATGAAGTTCTGAATATTTCAACTGTAGAATCTTTTTAAACTCCAAAAGTTACTAGGCAATAATTACTATTATTTCTATTTCAGTTATCTATTACGATAAAAATGCAAAAAAATATTGATCTACTCTGATAAATTTACTATAAATAGTAATTATAAAACTTCCTAACTGCATATTAATGTTAACGATACAATTTTTTTAATTCTCATAAAATTTTCTATTTAACAATATCAATTTCAAACTTCCAATTGAGCTAAAAGTTATGGTAAAATAAATTATTTTTTTTTATTATAAACATTCACAAAACTTTATCAAAAATTTTTCACTTTCTCCAACGATCCTCTAGATCGCGGAGCAAATTCTTAGTTTCCGTAGCGAGACGTACGTTCGAAACGTTTGGACTTTCTTTCCGAAATCATCTTATCCCGATCCAACTTTGCTTTTGGAATCTCTTTGCTAGGTTGCACGTGGGTTTGAATTTGTTGGGTTTACTTTTGCTCGATGGGGTTGCACTTTTTTCCGTTATCACTTGCTCCCGATCCCACTTTGCTTTTAGAGTCTATCCTTTGCTAGAAATGCGGAGCATTTCTAGTCATAATAACTAAATTTATATGAAATAGTAAAATATTGTACATATAAGTATTTTCACTTTAATATCACAACAATAATCACCTCAGTATGGTTATTTATATATACACGTCATCTCTCCTTCTATAAAGAGGTAAAACGCTGATCCTCTGTTATAATACATATGCTATTCAAAGAAAGGGAATCCTCTATGGTGAAACACACACACGTCATATAAATAGCTATAGTTTAATTTCGTTGGGTTAATATGCTGCCGCCGCTCGATTACAACTTTCACATTACATTGTTTACATAACACTTATTCTCTATCTACTGTTACTGAATTTTTTCTAGATATTATGTTAGTATGAAATTGTTATTTATTGCAATAAAAGTGTAAAGTGTACAGCTTACTCAAATGCCCAATTATTATTTATTTTATGTACCACCTTGGGCTCACTATAATGATAATTAAGTATACATTGTTGACAACACTCAAATAAAAACATATATTTATTATTTATTTATGCAGTGTATATAATACACTTACGAGGAAGTCATTTTAATTAGAATGTGGAATGAGTTTCATTAAGCCCTATAATACATCTTGAAAGTTAAAATAATTCATGTCACATTTTTGTCAGTCCTTATCTTCTAAAATTTTTCGTATAAGAACATATTTGAGAAGATATAATTTTAATTTACAAAATAACATAAAAAAAAAATTGTTTAAATAAAAGTTTATTTAAATTATACATGTTTTCCAATGAACATTTTTGTAAATGTGGAACTATTTATAGAAGGATAAAATATTTATTGGAACAAAAGTATTTGGATAAAGGTAACTTTGGCACAAGTATTCATTGGAACAAACAATTAATGGATAATTGTTAATTGGAACAAGTAACAATCTTGAATAATAATAGCTTTGCACGAAGTGTTTTAATCAAATTATGTAAGTATTGCAATTTAACAGATCGCATGGAAATAAAGTTAAATTTATTTTAGTTTTAGTTATGATGTGTAATGTAATTTTTTAACACACTAAAATTTGAGTTTTGACAATTTAATTATTGGTCTTATTTTAATTATGTAACAATGAGTAATATTTTGTGAAAACTTTGTTTTTAAAATAAGTAAATTAACAATTGAAGATAGAATATTATTAATATCAGGTTAGTAATGATTGTTTTCATACAAAATTTTTTTTGTTATTTAAGACAATAACGAATAATTAAAACATTAATCTTATACTAAATTTATGCAATCCTCTTAGAAAAGGTATGAATATAAAGATTATTGGATTATGTTTATGTAAATGATTCATTTACTTTCTAGTATATTTTTATATAACAGTCCTTGCATAACTTTTACTATTTATAAAATTATTAAATTTGCATTTTATAATATAATTTTTCTATTATTTCTGATAAACATAGTAGTAGTTATATTCAAAAATGGTTTACTGTTTTAATTTAGTATAACTGTACTATTTAACAGTTAATTTAGATAATCCTATTAAGTGGTATTTATATTTTTTGATTGCTATAGTTTTGTTTTTTGTAATAAAAATTAAATTAATGCTTCATTGTTATTTCCCTAAGATATCAATTGGTACATACAAAAATACTTACATTACATTTAACGTCCCAATATGGATAAAAAGAGATAACTGAGTACAGGTTTTATGTAATGGTTAACTTATAAGATTATTTTAATAAATAATAAAACTGTTAAAAAGCCCTTGATTACCAGTCAAAAAAATGTATAAATATAAGTAACACTTATAGTAGCTAATACTAACTATATTAAAGAATTTAAGCTCAAAACTAAAGTACCATTTCCATAAATAGATGAATGTCAATGAATAGTCAGACTATTATTTATTTTACATTGTCAAACACTTAATCAAATATTTGTTATTACCAACACTTAAAAGAGAAGTTATCTTACTTTTGAACAATTCAAATTTTTTTACAAATTAAATAACTGCTGTAGAAATAGTCTGTATATAAATAGAAAAGGGGAAATAAGGTAGATGACAGGCAGAGTTTAATTAAGAACAATTGATTAGTTTAGTTTAGTTTATTAACAATGAAAAATATGTATGTCAACAACAAGAGAAAAGGCGTAAAACAAATGTGTGATCTACTTATATATATATATGCAACATTAACTAAAGGTAAGGAAAATATAGGAACAAAATAAAATAATGGTAACGACTAATCAGTATCAATAAGTGAAAGATCAATAGACTGTTCAAATTAACTCCTAACTAAATATTTAACTATTTAATATGAGAAAAAGATCTATTTAACTAAATATCAAGTTTAATTGTCGTGTGACTGCTAGTATTATAAACTTATATTAATCTAATTAACTAATGAACTAAATTTGTATTAAAATATACACCCATTGATCATGTGGTCAAATGTGCAGAATATAAACAAATAATAGTCAACAGTTAAAGAATAAACAAAGTAAAAGCTAACTATTAGTGCAACTCTAAATTAAACAATATAATCTTCTTATTTTTCTTCGCAATTACTTCTACTACGGCCCCGACTACTTGGAGCCAAACAAAATTAAAGAATATGATATAAATAAAATTATTAGGCAAATTTATTTATGTAGAAACCAAAATTTGAACTGGTTGTTCAATGTGCCAGCTATTATACAAACTTAAGATCTTATAGACTAATTAAATATTTGAAAGTTATTAATTAGTAGAGTAGAGTAACAACCCAAGAGATCAGATTGGATATAGTTGTAAATTTTATTTATTTAAATGAATGGACCAAGTGGTTTGTTCTATTTTTCAAATTAAAAATAATTATATTATTCATATTGAACTATCTAAAGTATAAGGTTATTATAAGTTAAATGAGCAAATGAGAGATAGAATGTTTAATACAAAGTGAACAATAGATCAAAACTACGATGTTGAAAGAAAATAATCAAATAGACTAATTGAAGTAATTACTAAAATTAACATGAATTACCAAAAGTGTAACAGCACTAGCTACAAGTAATGAGTGCAAAGTACAAGAAAAAATGCAAAAAAAAAGATTTGATAGAGAGAAAATCTTGTAAAAAACAAACTTAAATATTTCAATTTAAAGGCTACTTAAACATGACAATAGAAAACATACAAAGTATTCAGTAAATAAACAGGTCAGTTGTTACAATGAGATCAATAGATCCGTTTCCATATTTACTGAAAATTTTATATAGTTGCTATATAATGACCAAAAAGTGAAGTGAGCGAGCACCAAAAATAACCATTTGAATGTGCAATGGCCGCAATCTTGGACTTTATCACAACTAATAGGGTTCAACAGCATGGCCAACTATTGAGTGATTTTCTCAAACATATTACTTTAAATATTAAGATTTTATCATAATTCCTTCAAAAATAATAACAAATTTTTTTTTTCAGAACACAAATAATTAATATTTATAGTTGATTCCATAATTATTATGGATTCAACTAATTTAATTCATATTTGGAGCAAGTTAGGAAAACTTACTGTAGATTGTGTTAGAAATATACAAATTACATCAGAGGTAAATTAAGCAAAACATTTTTTTACATATTATTTTTAGAAATGATTTAATATATTTATATTTATTTATGGTATTTTCTAAAAGCTATTGCTTGTATCAGTGAGTCAGTAAAAACCTACTTAACTAATTCAGCATAACTCCATTGAACCTTAATGCCAATGTACTAAGGCACAACGGATTACCGACTGAGATAAGTTAGCCTCTTAAATTATGTAGTAGTTAAGAATATGATTTGAATAGTTTAACAGTCTATCTATTGGATTAGGCATAATTGAATCTTGACTATCAATTTTTCAATACAACGTCTAAGTTTTCTTGAAAAGGGAAAATTTAATATTTAACATACTACTCAAAAATATTATTTTGATCCGTTTATCATGAACTACTCGTTTACTATAAAATATGAATTGAAGTAGAAGTGCGACTATGACTATTTAAATGATTAGACATATCATTCCTTACATCGTATTGGGGTGTTAACTTTATTTTTTTAAATGGCAAAATATATACATATTTAATTAGCTTATAAAAAAGAAAATGAATTATTGATAACAACTTTTAGGGGCCAATACTTTGGAAGTTATTGAAATTTTTTTATACATAGAATAGAGAATGACTGCAATCAAAAAATATTGAATGTTAAAAATAGCATTGCCTACANAGAATGACTGCAATCAAAAAATATTGAATGTTAAAAACTTGATTTCTAGTCTGTATATTAAAATACTAATATTACAATAAAATTAAATATATATATAGGTGTTTCGTTTATCATTAACCCTTTAGCAGGCGCGTGCCTCTTTTTAACGTTACAAGTCCCGTGGGGGTAAATATGACCCATTTCAATTTTGATGAATATTTTAAGTTATACATTTTTTTTTTAAAGGTATTTATTTATAAAATCGATTTAATATTACTATAAAAACAATTTTCTAAATTTATATCTATGCACACCTTTTATGCAATATAATACAATCGTTTTTATTTATGTGGGGGTATACTAGACCCCCACGCAACTGTTTAAGGGTTAATCACTCTTAACTATAAAATATGGACTGGGGTTGATGATGACTGCAGCTATAATAATTATATGATTTGACATTTCTATGTACTTCTCTTCCCTCCTAAATATAAAAATATTCTAAAGAAGATTATTTTTTATTTTATAAGCTAGTTGTCAATCAGTATGTTTCCATTTAATTAAAATTTGCTGACATCCTTATAATATATAAGATATGAACTGACAAGGTACTTAATAATTGATAAATCAAAAAATGTATGAAACTAAAAAAAGTTTAAAAAATATATTTGCAAAATTATTTTTATTTTGTAAGTAATTAAGTGGGTTATGATGAATGAATCACTCTTTATATTTATATTATATATGAAAATACACAATGTACATATTAATATGACTATATTCTTACTTACTGCATACCTACTAAAATTTAAAATTACAATAATAATAAAAAAAAATGGTAGCACAGTGGCGTTGTGGCACAGTATGGACGTGGCATAGTTGGGACAAGATAGATGGTATATCTGACAGTGATTAAAATCACTATCATAAGAAATGCTTTGATGCAAATCTGTAGATAGTGTTTAATTTTAAGAAATTGGTAGATTATTTCAAAAGCAACAATAACTCTTATTCCCTTAATTTTCTTCCGATTGGTTATTTAACTTATAATTATAATATATGAATAAATTATAATTATAGTTATTACATTTTATGTGAAATTGATATTCAATAATTTAATATTATAATTTTTACAGAGATATTATAAAAATAATAAAGTAGTTGCATATTTCTTTACTTTTAACGCTTATTAAAAATTTAAAGAACTTGATGCAATACTTTTCAATAAAAAATGTTTGTTACTTATAACAAAGTTATATTTTTAGCTGGATTGATTTTTTAATTTGTCAGTGGCAACCGCTAAGGTAAGACATGTTTTTATAAACTCGGCGATATTCGTTTGTTAAAAAAAATTTATCGAAGAATTTGTATATAATTTTGTGTAAAAATTAAATAATATGTAAAAAAGTGTATGAAATGTTAATAAAGGCCTATGGTGAGTCTGCCATAATTAAAACAAGGGTTTACGAGTGGTATAAGCGTTTCCAAGATGGCCGTTGAAGATGATTATAAACACTTTTGCATGAAGCGTTTTATGAATCCAAAAAAAACTTCTGGATTTTGCATCACGATAATACACCTGCTCACACTTCATTCTTGTTCATGAATTTTTGGCCAAAAACAATACTGTAACAATGCCCCAGCCTGCATATTCGCCAGAAATGACTGTGTGACTGACAATTTCCAAAAATAAAGAGAATCTTAAAGGGCCGTTGTTTTACAAGCATAGATAACATAAAAAGCGCATCGCTGAATGAGCTGAAATCTATCCCAAAGATGGAGTATGAGAAGTGTTTCGAGGATTGGAAGAAGCGTTGGCATAAGTACAGGATGTGTAATAAGGACATTTTTGAAGGCAAAAACATTAATATAGATGAATAAATAAATATTTTTATTAAAAACGAAAATTCCAGTTATTTTGTGAAAATACCTCTGTTCCATTTGATTTTAAAGTATTTTGTTGTAATATTAGTCATGTATAAAATCCAATATTTTTTTACACAGGAACAAATAGTAAGATTGGATGAAGTATACAATAATATATTGAATTCTGTACAGCAAAATAATGTGTCTGTAAATGTACCAGGGAATAAAACAATCAAAAGACAATCAAGTATGAGTTATTATAAATTAATTAAGTTATTTTTCAGCCATTTTGATAGGACCAGTTAAAATTAGAAAGATTTATTAGGTGATTCAAAAGAAAAAGAAAGATAACATTGAATATTAACATCATTTAATATTTTGATAAATTATTTAGCCAAATAAAGAAAACAATGAAATTTAATAAGTTATTAAGAACTAAAGAAACATTTAAAATGTAGATGATATATAATATCCAGTAGACGCCCATTTCTTAATAATACATTAAGACTTTAGAACTCATTAAAACTGTAATAATTTAAAAAAATTAATATAGGAGAGCAAAATAAATTAAAAAAAATATATAATTTTTTAACTGGTTTGTGTTTAATTCTACTAGAAAATCATTATTTGGATTTGTGTCTATTAAATAAAAATACTGATGTCAAAATTAGATAAATAATGTTGTTTTTAGAAGTGTATATAGTATGTGATTTTCAATCATATGAGTCTAAATATTGCATTTTTTCAAATGTATTTTTAATATTGTAAAAAATTTTAAATGTTACAATTTGGTAAATCTATTTAATGTTGATTTTAAATTGTACTTTCATCTACTCAAAAAAATATCAATTTTGGTAATGGTTTTTATAAGCATGTTATTGGGAAAAAATTAAATGTACTCTAGAACACAATTGATGATTACCAATTTTTAATATAATAATTACTGTAGAAACAAAACTATATTTTAATGGTGTTCAGGCAATATTGTATGAGCATCTGTCTCCCTATTTATTTTTCGTTTTTTGTTAGTTTTTATTAATATAATAATTATTATAGCAAATTTACTCAAAAATTATCTTTTAAATAATTTTATTATTTATTATTATTTTTATTATTTGTTTGCTATGTTAATTTCAGGGAAAGCTCATTTATCTAACCAAGTTGGAGACTTATTTGTTACTGAAACTGATTTCCAAGAACCGTCTGAACCAATTGTTCGTCGAACTAAAAGATTAGCATCAATTGTAAGACATAACTAAGAAAAAATTATTAATAGTTCTATTATTTCTCATCATATCAATTATTTTATATAAATATATGTTGTAGGTTGCTTCTGATAAAATTAAAAATTCAAAAAAGTCTGCTACAAATAGCTCAGAAACAAAACAAACTAGTAATAGTTTTTTTTAAATTTATTTATAGTTTTAATACTAAAAAATATTTTATAATAGGAGAAAATAGAGCAAGAGCTATTTCTACCAGTGTGGATATTGCTCCTTTTATATGTCCTAATGCAAATTCGACCTTTGTTGTTGAACACAAAAACATCTCTTCAAATAACGATGACCAATACTTTTTAACTGATGATAAAATAAATACTATGACTAAAAATTCCAAAATTGATGATATATGTGAAATTTCTAGTAAACAATCAAAAAAGAATGTTGAAAAGCAAATAACGTCACCAAAGAACAATGTGGAAAATATATTAACTCAAAACATTGGAGACTTAGATAAAGAGTATTAAAATATTTATAAAAAAAAATACATAATTTTACTATTACAAATTTTATTTATAGAATATTGCTATGCCCAAAAGACAGAAAACGAGAAAAACTAGAAGATATTGATATAAATGTTGATGAATTAATGCCACAACATATGACAAGAATAAAAAAAAGAAAATTGGAAGATGAGGTTAAAATTATACATGTACCATTAGAAAAACAAATATCAACTCCTCAGGCTAATGTAGACGCAATGACATCAGTAACGCCTCATCAATTTAGAGAAGATGGAGCTGTAAAAAGAAAAGAATTATTTCTTAAACAGAAAGCAGATCAAAAGTAGTTTTAATATTATATAATAATATGATATTTTATTTAAATGTGATTGTGTATTTTATAATACAAACAGTTACATAACTACTACAATGATAGACTTATGTGTATATTTTTTGTAGTATTATTAAATTTTATTTCAGTGTAGTGTCTAAAACATATTTTTGCTAAACAAATATTTTCTCATAAGTATATACATAAGCTTCAGTAATTTAGTCTAGATTTTAGTATATATACGGGGTGATTTTTTCATCATAACCCATTTAATTACTTATAGATAAAACATAATTTAAACATTTTTTTTTTTTTTGGTTATCATTAGTTACCCATTATTCTTGAATTATTAACTATGTAATACTTTTTAAGTTCATCCCTTATGCCTTGTAAGGATGTCAACTTTGTTTTTTTAAATGGGAACATATATTTTTAATTTAATAGTTAATGACATTTAAATTTTTATTATAACTCTTTTATTAGATATAAATATTGAAAGTTTCAAATGTTTGAGTTAATATATATGTATAATACACAAGGGATTACAAATACAGCTAATTAATTGATTTTTAATGGCATTGCTGTTACAGCAAGAGAGTTTATTGTCAATTATCACTAACAATAGATATACTTTCTGTATTGCCAGTTAGTGTATTTATAAACTCAACAATGTGCCTAACTACCGATTATAAATACTGTGTACCTGCAAATATCGACATCATAAAAAACTAATTGGCTACCTGTATTTGTAATCCCTTGTGTATTATACATATAAATTTGATTATATGTTATGATTATGATTATGATAAAAAATCGCTCTGTATAAGAATGTTTATGTAAAGGAGTATAAATAGTAAATTTTCAGATAATTCAAATAACATAACTATGCCATACATCAGAATCTATGATTTATCTCTAATTTCAATTTATAACCACTTGGTAAAGAATGGTCATGTGGATATAAAATTATTACTTATACGTTCGGAATGTAATTTTCTACAAAATCAACACAAAAACCAAAAATGTCTAATGTTGACTTGTCTTTCCTTACGTAAATTCTGCCTAATGATTTCTTTCTATTGAGATTTTTTTTATCTATATATATTTTCTCAAATTTATAATTGTATAGATAAACTTCTTTACTATCATAAAAATTTTAATGGATATTTTTTAATTTAAAAGAAAAAATGATGAACTACAAACGAAGGCAGCCAAATTAAGAGAAGAACAAACAAAACTTTATCAGGAAAAAATTCAAAAAATGGCTGAAGAGAAACAGAAAAAAGAAGAGAATAAAAAAGTTAAAGAAATGTTGCAAAAGGCAGAACTAATAAAAATAAAAAAACAGGCTGAAATTCGTAAGGCTGAAGTAACCGCTAAACGGAAACAAGCTGAAGAAGCCAAAATTTTAAAAGTTGCCGTATGTAGTTTTAAGTAATAAAATATTAGTATGAACCTATATAACACATAGAGGTCCAAATCGCAATTCTAGCTGCACATTCAGATTTTAATATAAATAAAAAAAGTTAAACTATTTATAAAATGTTGATTTTAAATATGCTCCTTCAAAATAACCTTAAGTTTCAAGGTCACGCTAGTATTTGTTTGTATATTTAATCCTTTTTTTAAACTTTGATTTAAGCCACTGTTGATGGCAAAATAAAATAATGTTTCAGAATTAATTTTTTTTTTCATTGAATATTAAAAAACGTTAAATTTAAATTTACTTATTTGATGTAAACAATTTTTTAGCTTCGATACAAAATTGAGAAGGTATTAATTTTACCATGATGTGTTTTATTATATATAAGGAGTATCCAAAAGAGACATTAGAGGATATCTGGGGAAATGAAGGATTGGTAGATTTAATTAGTGAGAAAGAGGTATGGGAGACTGTGGCATCAATGAAAAAGAATAAAGCAGTAGGACCAAATGAAGTGCCAGTAGAAGTATAGAAAATTTAGGCAGTGTTGGCATAAAGTGGTTGAAGGAACTTTTAAATAAAATCTTATTTGAAGGGAAAATTCCAAATGAATATAGGAATAGTATTGTGGTGGCGATATTTAAAGGTAAAGGTGGCATACAGGAGTGTGGAAATTATAGAGGCATAAAGCTTATGAGTCATAGTATGAAAATTTGGGAAAAGATAATAGATAAGAGAAACATCGGTATCTAAAAACTAGTTTGGAATTATGCCTGGTAAGCCAACAATGAAGCCAGTATTTTGTGTGAGGCGACTTATAGAAAAATTTAGGAAAAAAAAGCTGTGTATGGTATTCATAGATTTGGAGAAAGCGTATGATATAGTACTGAGAGAGATTTTAAAGTTGGCATTAATGAGAAAAAGAGTCTTGAAGAGGTACATTAATATAATAGAAGATATGTATGATGGCACTTGTACCATGGTAAAAAGCATAGGAGGAGTATCAGAAGGTTTTTGGGTAAGAGTAGGAGTGCGCCAAAGTTCTGTTTTAAGCTCTTACTTATTCTCTATAGTGATGGATGAAATTACTAGAGAAATACAAGGACAGGTGCCGTGGTGCATGTGTTAACAACATAGTGTTAATAGGAGAAAATAGGGAGGAAATTAATCAAAGGCTAAAGGTGTGGAGATCAATTCTTGAAGAAAAGGGTTTAAGAATAAGTAAGAGTAACATAGAGTATATAGAGTATGAGTTTGACAAGAGAACACGAGGTAGGTGAAATGAGTAGATCAGTGACAATAAGTGAGGACGTGATTGGAGAGGTGGAAAGTTTTAAGTATTTAGGGTAAGTTGTGCAAAAAAGTGATGGTATTGACAAGAACGTAAAACATAGGATTAAATGCGGGTGGTTGAAGTGGAGAGAAGCGTCTGGCGTCTTATGCGATAAAAGAATTCCAATGAAGCTGAAAGGTAAATTCTACAAGACTGCAGTGAGACCAGATATGATGTATGGTTCAGAGTGTTGGGCGGTTGACAAGAAAGTAAAGCAGAAAATGAGTGTAGCTGAGATGAGAATGCTTAGATGGATGAGTTATATACCTTAGATAATTCCCTTTTATTTAACATAATTTTTTTGAAAATCTGAACTTTTACTTGCCCACAGGTAAGATTTAACTTTTACAGAAAAATTTTAGTTTTTAAATGTTCGGGAAGTACTAGTAGCTTCAAACATATGTTATAATTAAGCTTATGTTATGTACTATAAGTTGCAAAAAACAATTTTCCTAACTCCTTATCTTCTATGTATAAATGGCTGCTTTAGTTAAAAAAACATGAAATTTTTATGTTAAAATTTTCGATTACATATTTGAGTTTTTCAACTTTAAATTGCTATAACTTATAAAATAAGTTAATTTATTAAATTTATAGATAAAATTTATTAATAACATATATGGTTAATCTATAAATTTATGGATTAGTACAATTTTTTTTATAATTATTTGATAAATACTTCTTTTAACAATCATACTTTTATAAAAAAACTGGATAATTTCCTCTTGTTTAAATCCTAAAAATCAAAACTAATATTTCATAATTGGTTTAATTTTATTTGCATACATCAAAATCGTAATTTTGTCCAGCTAGAAGCTAGTTTTAGACCACCGTGTAGCATAAATGCCTTGAGTTTATACTGATGTATTTGTACTCTGCTCGTATTATTTGCCCATTATTGTATTAAAATATTATACCAGATGAATTATCCATCTTATAAAAAAAATTGTAAGAACAACTTATTTTTCATTTTTTTTTATCATATTAAGTTATAAATAGAGGTTCTCATTTATTAAAAATAAATTTGGGAGTTTTTTTTTATCTTGAAAGGATAAAAACAAAATTATTTAACTATATATCATTGTGGAGTTTTTTAAGTCAAATAATTTTTTGAAGTATTACATTAGCGATGANAAAAACAAAATTATTTAACTATATATCATTGTGGAGTTTTTTAAGTCAAATAATTTTTTGAAGTATTACATTAGCGATGACGATAATTGGAGGGCTTGGCAACAACCAGACCTTTTTAGAAAATAAATAGTTGTTAATTTTGAAATAAAATAATTTTTTTACAGAATTCAGTACTAAGTTGGATAATTAAGAAAAAATATTTTACCATTGCTTTTAATAATAAAATGGCTTTTTTGAAAATTTAAAAAAATAGACTTATATGGTTGTTGCAACAAGCCCTTTGAATTGTCATTTTAAGTGCAATATTACGTATTTCCAAACATTTAAAAAAAAAATGTTTAAGTCGCGTATTATTACATTATTGTTGGTAAAATGACAATTGTTGTAAGTATGTAAAGTAAATTACATAGAATACAAGTTGTTTAAATGTTTTATATTATGTTGTAGCAAAAAGCTGAAGCTGAACGTTTAGCTAAACTAAACGAATTAAAAAAGTAAGTTATTTAAAATTGGCATTATATAGTTAAAAAAAATTGTTAAAATTATTAAAATATATAACTGTAACTAATTAAATTTTTTCTTATTAAATTTATTGACTGAGATGACTATTTACCAGTTAGATTATAAAATACTTTTATTGTGGTGATATGAAACTGAAGAGGTGTCAAGTGAGATAGTTTGCCTCTTTAATTTACTTCAGTCGTTTTAGTAAACTTGATTGTTTTCCTTAAACAATTACATCTCTGCTTTATTGTATACATTTAATATTTTTATATTATACGAGAACCATAAAGATAATAAGATTAGTATGTGTTTATAGGTTACAAGATAATTTATTTTTCAAAGTAAATAAAATGTAAGGTTTAGTACGTTTGTCTTAAACAAAATTCCATTAGTGTCAATTATCTTTAACATGTTCTTGAATCATTCCTGTAACTTCAATCCAGAATGCAGTTATAATTTCTTTCACATATACAAATTTATCACATATATTTTTCAGAAATAAATTAGAAATGTCAACTATATATATATAACTATATATTCGATAGTATTGACACTATAATCACATTTTATATATGATGATTTATTAAATCATTTTAATTGTTATGAATTGTTCTACATTAAAGGTACACTAATTTTGAATGATAAATTGATGCCTTGTAATTTTCTTTTTTGGATGGTCCTCATATATAGATAAGCTTTCTTATGTTACAGAGTCTGTAATTATGTGGAGATCTAAATTTTAATAGTGTTAAGTGTTTTATAAGACACTTTAATATAAATATAAAAATAATTATTTATAATAATATGATATTTTTATTTTCTGTAGACAAGAAAAAAAAATTTTCATTTCTCATAAAGCAACAACGTCAACTCCTACATTAAAGAAAAATATAGAACAAAAAACTAAAACTCAAAAAGTATGCTATTTTTCAAATTAATTTTTTTTTATATTATATTATAATATTTATAATATATAGCTGTTTTATATAATAATCAAAATTTAACACTACCAAAATATTAAATAAAGCTAAAAAATACACTCAAGTTAAAATATGCTCTAATAAACATTAAAACAATTTTCAAATTCATATTTGAGTTTTAGTCCCTAGCTAAAAATTTGAAACTTCTATGAATTGTCCTTCTTCAATTACCAACTATGACTCCTTTGAAAACTTTTGCAATAAAGTGGCGACTCCTGCTCTCAAGAAATTTAATTTATATTTGCAACTAATTTGCCATAAAATAATGACAACTTCCTATTTTCCCCTATTAGGTGTTATGAATCTTCCCTTACTATCTAGAAAATATGATGATTTAGACAGTATTTATCCTATAATAATTATATACCTATTGATTGAGGCTTTTGATACTTTATGAACTATCTTAAACGAATTTTAGTTTAATAATATCATACCTATTTCTAAGAGTGGAACATCAGCTCCTGAGCTGATGAAGCTAATAAACTTTTAACAACTATTGAAACTATGTAATTTTATGCATATTAAACTTGTATTTAAAAAAATTATATTTTTTTTAAGATAGAGAATATAATAAACAATGACTATGGATTAAATGATATATCAGCTCGTGATTCTTCTGAAGAAGAATCCAGACCTAGGAAGCCAATTCCTGAATGGGCAAAACGTATGTTATTTGAAAATGGAATCTAAAATGTATTTTTCCTTCTTTTGTGATAAATTATATAAATCTTATTGATAGGAGAAAATAGAATAACAATACTTGAAATCCAATCTTATGTAAGCTCAGGAATTAGAGACCCATTTTTTGACTGTCCTACCCAGATTAACCTCAAACAGATGTTTCAAGGTTGGAATATTCGAGAAAGACAACGCACATCAAGCGCTGTATGGACTACACCACCTAAGTATAATGAATATGTTCATAAATATTAATATCTTATAATTACAGTTATATAAATTGATTATCTATTTCTATTTGCCATAAAAATTACAAGAAACTTAAAAAATTATTTCTTTAATAAATTATTTATATATTATTTAACTAAATTCTTAAAAAAATTTTGCTAACAGTGTTTGATTATTATTATTATTATTTTGTAAATTTTATGTACTAATTAAAATTTTTATTTTATAATTTTATTTAAATTTAAAATGTGATATAAAACTATTTATTATAATAAAAATTTTAATTGGCTAAATAATAAAGTTATTTTTGGATTTTATATTAAATAAGTTTATTATATTTCTTTCAGCGATACGTCAATAGATCACAAATTGTATCTAGTCGAAGACATTACTCTCAAAAGTTGAATAAATTTCCCAAGTTCCCCGTAAATGGGTGCAAAATCAATCAAAATTACGAATTTAAAAATCGCTAGTTTTCGTAATTTTTCCATTTTTTTTTTCTTAAAACTTCCATAACTTTTTCAAAAATCAACATATTTTTTTTTTATAGATGCTTGATGTCTTTACCTATCATTTGGTATATTTTTTTTATAAATCTTGCTTTTAACCTGCCCACAGGGGGGATTCAAAATATCAACTTTTCACAAAAAATTAACTTTTTCAACTTGACTTTTGAACATATTCCGGAAAGTTGACACTTTATCTTTTTAATATCTTAAATTAAAGCTAATATAATATACTTTGAAAAAAAAAAATTCGGACTTAATTTTGTCTTCACGGTGAAAACAGACATCAAAATTAATAAAAAAAAAAAATACGATTTTTGTAAAAAAATTCTTTTTTATATTTTTAACTTTATAATGCTATAACTTTTTGAAAAATTTATGGATCAATAAGATTTTGTTTGAGAAAAAATATTTATATACTTCTTTCATTTGATATACTTAGTTTTTAAATAAAACCATTTCCCTTTATATATTAATTCATATATTACACTTATAAATCATAAACATTGTAATCAGGAAATAAATGATCATGTAACTTTTGGAAATTATCCAACAATTTTTTAGAATTAATCACTATCTACAGATTTGCAACGAAGCGTTTTTTATAATAGTGATTTTAATCACTGTCAGATATCATTATACTTGACCCAACAATGCCACATTCTCTTTGTACCGCGACCCCACTGTGATTTTTTTTTCACTGTCACTTTTTTTTTTTAATTCGGAATATCAATTAAATGTGTTAAAGAAAACACAGCACAGTTGGTTTTTTTTAAATCTTGTTATTTAAATGCATTCTTTGTAAACTATTTAAATTTAAGTGTAAATGAGTTGTGATTTCTTTTGTTTTTGATTCTTTACACATAATTTGCAAATTGCTGATTCATAATTCTTTTTGATAAAAATGTTGTCAAACTTTATTTATTTTAGCCATATTTCATTATAGCAAGTAATCATTTAAATTACTCAATGGTGGACTTTAACTAGTTAAAAAGTTAATTTTTTTTTAACTTATCTACTTAACTAGTTAATTATTTTTCTAATAAACTTCTAAACTTAACTATTTTAATTTTCTATTGAAATAACTTGGCTTTTTTCAGTTAATTAGTTAAAATAACAGTTGAGCAAAATCAATATTTTATAAAAAAAATGTAAGTCTTTATACGCTGTATACGTGGTTTAATTTAAAAAAAAATAGAAATTTCCCCCTCAAATATTATATTTCTATATCAATAATTATAATTTTCTGGATTGTTTCAAAAATGTATATGGTTTTTAATTTTTATTCATAATAATTATGTTATAAATCTTAGTGATTTTAGTCTTAAATATAAAACAGTGTAACCAACACAAAAATGTACAAACGAATAAACATTTTTTTTGTTATTATCAATATTTTAGCTTCGATGCGAAGCTGAGAAGGTATTAATTTTACTATGATGTGTTTTTTTATTTTTTTTGTGTCTGTGAACGCTCAATCTCAGCTCTCGCTGGACCGATTTTGATGAACAATATGTCAAAAGATCACAAATCGTATCTAGTCGAAGACATTACCCTCAAAAATTGAAAAAAATTCCCTCGTTCCCCGTAAACGGGGGAAATCCCCCAAAAAATTACAAATTTAAAAATCGCTAATTTTCGATATTTTTTCAATTTTTTTTACTTAAAATTGCCATAACTTTTTTAAAAATGACCGAATCAATATAATTTTTTTTTTTATAGATACCTTAGATAATTACCTATCATTTTATATATTTTTGTGAACATTTGACCCTTTAACAGCCCAAAGGATGGGGTTTCAAAATGGTAACTTTTTTACAAAAAATTAACTTTTTCAACTTAACTTTTGAAAATGTTCCGGAAAGACTGACAATTTTATATATACCTTAAATTAAAGCTAATGTAATATACTTTAATTTGAAAAAAAAAAATTTGACCTCTGGACTTGTCTTCATGGTGAAAATGACTACCGTATGCAAAAATATGCTATTTTTGTGAAAAAATTCTTGATATTATATTTTACATTTTTTAACATTATGTTGCTATAACTTTTTAAAAAATGCATGAATCAACTTTATTCTTTAATGATAAATACTTTATATATACTTTATATATTTATATATTATATATATTATTATACATATATATAAATACTTTTTATATGTACTTCTTTCATTCGACATACTTTTTTTTAAAATCGGACCATTTCCCTTTATACAGGGGGGGTGCAAACCTTTTAAAATGC